CAAGTTTTGACAGGTTGACTCCGGTTTTGGCACCATATGTCAGGGCGCCGCTGTGGATGCGGCTATGGAATGGTTTCAGAATCTCTCTAATATTGTGTTTTCTGACGAAAAGAAATTCAATTTAGATGGTCCGGTCGGCTTACAATACTATTGGTATGACCTCAGAAAGGAGGAGCAACCATTTTGGAGTCGTCAACTAGGTGGCGGCAGTGTGATGATTTGGGCGGGATTTTCAAGCAAGGCGTCACGCAAATCGCAGTGTTGTCAGGACGTCAAGACTCCTACGCATACTGTGAGACCATTTCCAACTACCTGCTCCCCTTCGTGCATGTTCACCATCAAGATGGATACGTTTTTCAGCAAGATAATGCTCGATTTCACACGAGTTCTGAGACGAAGGCATTTTTTGCTGAGCATGACGTACCTGTTTTGAGCTGGCCGTCGCTGCCCCCGGCCTTGAATCCCATCGAAAACGTCTGGGGACACCTCACAAGGAAGGTGTATGCGAATGGACGGTAGTTCAACACTATTCAAGAGCTGAAGACTGAGATTTTGAAGCAATGGGAGACATTTGATCTTCAGTACCTTGCGAAGCTCATTGGATCCATGAAGACGCGTAGCCTTGGCGTTTTAAAGTCGAAGGGGGCCTGTACGAAGTACTAGAGCCAAAACCAAATTGATAATACATCGAATATGTTTCGTTTTGTGTCTAAGTTTGCCACTGTACCTTTCACTTTTGTCCAGGTCAAAATTTGGAAATTTACGCACAAAGTATATAACTTGGGTTATATTGAAAATTAGTGAGAAAAAAACTACCTAAACTATCGTCCTTGTCAATCCGATCCAATGCTACTATTCGCGCTGCAAACCAACGACAACGGTGCTCTTAGTGATGAGGAAACAAGTGTCCCTAACACTTATGGCCAGCACTGTATAAAATGCAAAAACTGTAAGTGCCAATTTTTTCATAATTGTTGTTTTCGACTACCTGGGCAGAAAAATAGTTTAGTCGAGAGGTTTACAAACCTGCGTCTTTAGTGTGTCATAGCGGGTTCACTTCAGCTTTCTAGCAGCTCAATAACATGACCGCGTTATTGAGTTAGTTGTTTCCATCGACACGTCACCTCCAACAAAGTGAAGTAATATCCCTGTGAGTAGTTCTTCCTCGAGGTGAAGTAGGTCGTTTGGTTATCCTCGCGGTCGTGTCTGCAATGTCCACTGCGGATGTCCGAGAGAGTGATACGTTCACAGGGTGATGTGCTTGTCGGTTTAACCAATCAGGTTGAGGAATTTCGCATTGGGCGAGGCATGAAGTAGATTGGAATCCGCAGGATCTGGAATTCTCAAACCCGCAATACAGTGCACGAAAATAGAGAGTTTCAAAAAATAATAAGGGCCCGTCTGGAAGCCATCCAAAATATTATCACGATATTGAAATATCTCATTCTCTGCATTTTTTAAATGCAGATTCAGTATATTGAAATTGCGAGAAAATATAAAATGCATATCATGTTTGGCTGTACGATGTGATAGGACGAAACGAAGCTTCGGTTCGAATGCTGCAATCCCAAAAACGCGCAAAGATCCAAGCACATCATGACGGACGAGCGAGCATCCTGGACTGACGAGAAAGACGCAACATGGATGACGGCAATGGTGTATCGAGTTGTCGTCTTGGGCAAGCGTGCCAATAGCGGCTTCAAA